CGGCTGCATTCCCATTACTCAGTCCTCGTCGCCTCCTGTCCCCTCCCCTCGGCGGATAAACAAACGGCAGCGCGTGACTCTAATGACTTAAACGCCGCCTCACCGACTGAGAAAAGTTGCTTCTTGCTGCTCCGATTGTCGGCGCTCTTCCCCAAATCTTGGAGCGGCAGATTGGTGGAAGGCGTGTTTGAAAATAAAGCCTCATTTAGATGCTGTTTGCTTTTGGGAGATTGGTCAACGTCGTTCTTTGAGGCTTCATATCTTTTGAGATCATTTAATTGCTGGAGTAACCCTACAAAATACAGTATGCATTCGAGCTTTGCAATTTCAAACTCCTAAGGGGCGTAAAGGTTCAACAGATTCCCTCCCACCTTGTCCACAGTTCTCCCCCGGGTAAGTTTCCTGCCCATCCTTCTTGTGCATTGCACCTTTCCTGCCAAAACCCAGGAAACAACTCGTGTTACTTCTTGTGTTAGTCAGTCTTGTTAATATCTGCACCCACTACCACAAGGTCTGGCCTGGCTCCTTCACCCTTGGTGCGCCCCGTTCCCCGGGAACCACCGTAATCCAAAAATCAGACCCCGGTGCCTGGGGCTCCTGAGACCCGGAGCTCCCAGCTACGGGCGGCACTTCCTGCCCGGCGGGCTGACTCGTCGGTGACACGCCCGCCGCTTGTAAACGCCAGGCGGACGCAGCTCGGGCCCAGAACGCTTCGGGCCCTCGGACCTCTTCTCACTCCGCCTGGTGAGCGCCGCGCGGATCGTCGGGCGCCGGGAGGCCCAGTCGCGCGCGGAACAGGAAGAGGCGTCCTCTGGCTGTCGGCGACAGGGGAGGAGACTGCGCGGAGCCGGGCGGCGGCCCTCGGGAGAGGCGGGCAGGTGGGCCAACGAGGGAGGACGGCTCTGTCCGCAACTTACTATTCCTTTCCTCCCCTTCCACCTTCACAGGGTGGGCGGCTGACGGCGCGATGGATCTGGCTGGGCTCCTACTGGACGAAGAGGGCACATTTTCCCTTACCGGTTTCCAGGACTTCACGGTGAGAGAGACCGCAGTCCGTCTGTCCTTAGACCCAGTAGGCTGTGAGTCAGGACTCCGGGGCGTTACCCTCCGGACCCGAGAGGAATGGGAGCTCTCTTACTTGCCATGCCCGAGATTGGGCAGCTGTTGGGAGCAATGCCTACTCAAGCCAGGGCCACTTGGGCCTGGAGGCAAACCCTCAGGTATAGGAAGGGAACTGCTACTAGTGATTAGACTGGGGTCCATCTAGTTTCTAGTTTTCTGGTCTCCTGGGAGCCTCTAGTGATGACTGGGTGCTGTCTTCCTCTCCCCGAGGCAGGACTAGGCTGCCATTAAGCAAATGATCCCTGGAACTCGGAGCTGGGTGGGGCATAGCATAGGTCCAGTGGCAGCAAAGCCAACTTGCTGCCTTGTACAGCCTTCCAGTCCCAACCCAGGACTTCTATCATAACCTTCCCTGCCCTTCACCCTCCACCCCTCCTGGCCCTGTTTCAGTTCCTTCCAGGACACCAGAAACTGAGTGCTCGAATCCGAAGGAGACTCTATTATGGTTGGGACTGGGAGACGGACTGCACCCTGGAGGAGCTCTCCAGCCCTGTGGCAGGTGTGTGTGTGTGTGTGTGTGTGTGTGTGTGTGTGTGTGTGGCTTTGAGGGCAGGGTTGTCATAGTCATCCAAATGCCTAGAGGTTGTCCTCTGAGCTGCACTGTGTCTCATAACTATCTCAGTTGGTACTTGGTTTGACAATGCGGGCTGTGTTTCACATTCTTTTAGCTCACGTGAGTAAAAACAGCTCATAAATTGCAGTCACTTATTTTTAGGGCTTGTGTATGCTAGGCAAGCATTTTGCCACGCAGCTATACCCCAAGTCCTGCTGCCCTTTTTAAATTTATAGGTCAGAAATTTAGTTTTCTAAGTATATTTGTTGTATGTTTCCCAAGTAACAAAGCATGCTTCTTAGATGAACATTTGTGAAAGATAAACATGAATAACTCAACAGAAGAACAAGCTTGCCTACTGGAAAAGGCTGAGAATCAAGCTTTTAGTGGGCTTTTATCACTTAGAATTTGAGGGGGGGATATGATGGGGAAATCCAGGGCTGAAAGGTTGAGACAGTGTCTTTCTTATTTATTTATTTATTTATTTATTTATTTATTTTGTTTGTTTGTTTTTCGAGACAGGGTTTCTCTGTATTGCTTTGCAGCCTGTCCTGGAACTTGCTCTGTAGATCAGGCTAGCCATGTGGTGATCCAGTCCCCCTGCCCCTGTGTCTTGTTTATTGGAATTACAGACATATTTCACCATGCCAGTTTAGATGACATGTCATGTCCCCATGGCCTCAGATACTACAGACCTAGGTCTTCCATGACAGTTGTGGAGACTGTGTATCTGTTGGGGGGTTGACTATTCTGCTCTCCTGTCTCTTGCAGACATCACTGTGGAACTTCTTCAGAAGGCAGCACCCAGTCCTATTCGGCGACTCCAGAAGAAATATGTAGCTCATGTGTCCCGGTGAGCCTGGGATGGGGGGGGTTATTGTCTCTAAAGAGAAGGTGTAAAGACAGAGATAAGCATCTTGAGAGTTTCAAGAGCTAAAGGACCCTTGGGTTTAATTACTGATCCTTTTTACCTCCCAGAGAGGCTTGTATCTCCCCTTGTGCTATGATGTTAGCTCTGGTGTACATTGAGCGGCTCCGTCACCGAAACCCAGACTACCTGCAGCACGTGTCATCTTCTGACTTGTTTCTGATCTCCATGGTAAGGTGTCCCCTCCTTTTATCTCCCTAGTGAGCCAGGTACCAGGTATGAGCTCCACTGATGCACTTCTGGCTTCTCTACAGATGGTGGCCAGTAAATACCTTTATGATGAAGGAGAGGAAGAGGAGGTCTTCAATGATGAATGGGGAGCTGCTGGGGGAGTGGCAGTGCCTACTCTTAATGCCTTGGAAAGGGGCTTCCTTAGTGCCATGGTGAGTGGCTCTTCTCTTACTTGTCTTTTTATTCCTTTATTCTTTGTTCTCTGTCAGCCTTCTGTTGTCTTTAGCACTCTCTCTCTCTCTCTCTCTCTCTCTCTCTCTCTCTGTGTGTGTGTGTGTGTGTGCGTGCGCGCGTGCGTGCGTGCGTGTGTGTGTGTGTTCATGTATGAACCTTCAGTGTTCTTCCTGAGGATCTGTCTACCTGGCTTTTTGAAATAGGGTCTCTTGTTTAGCCTGGTACTTAAGGATCAGGGCAGGCTGGCTGGCTGGCTGACCAGCAAGCCTCAGGGATCTACTTGTCTTTGCCTCCTTAGTGCTAAGATAATAAGTGCATGCCTCATACCCACTTCTTTTATGTGGGTTCTAGGGATCTCAGTTTCTCATGCTTGCATACAAGGTCTTTACTAATTGACGTAACCACCAACCTCCATTTAATTTTTGTTTTCTCCCAAGTACATGCCTTTAATCCCAGGCAGATCTCTGTGAGTTTGAGGCCAAGCCTGGTCTGTTTTGGGATAGTCAAGGGCTTCATAGTCAGACCCTGTCTCTTAATAAATAAATTTTAAATTAGGGTGTCATACAACTCACTACATAGGCATAGAGGCTGGTTTTGCTTCCTGTTGCTTCTGCTTTTGTCTCCCAGTGCTGATTGTAGGGATACATATTACACCTGGCTTTGTGTGTCTGTTCTTGTGTCTTTTTGGCAGGGTCTTCCTTTCCTGTCCTTTCAGGACTAGTTTAGAGGCTCCTGAAACAGTTAAGTCCAGAAGTAGCATCTCACCCACTTCCTCCAGGGCACACTCTGAGGCAGACCCTGTAGTGTTGACTCTGAATATTTGCTTTCAAACTTTTTCTGCTTTAGACTTTGAGCTCCTTGTGGACACTGACCGTTCTTGGGTTTATATTCTCCCTTTGTACTTTGTAGAAGGGATAATTAATTCAAGGTCAGGTAGGTGGTGATTGTTTGATAGAATATACACAAGCCCTTTGGATAGTAGTTAGCACATCTTTTCAGCTGTGGTTGTAGCTGCTCTGGTCAGATTACCATGGCTTGTTTATATCCAAGCTTAGCTTTAGCTCTTCCCAGTTCTTATTTATTTAGGGTTTTTTTTTGAGATAGGCTTACAGCATAGCCCAGGCTGGCCTAGAACTTGCAGCAATACTCCTGCTTCAGCCTCCCAAGTACTGGGATCATAGGGATGAACTACTGTGCCTGTCTTTCTTCTTGTACACAGGATTGGCGCCTCTACACTGATCCTAGGGAGATCTTTGAGGTGCTGAATTGGCTAGAGAGCTGGTGAGTTCCAGGAACTGGTAAGAGGGGTCTGAGGCATTTAGAGGCATAGGCCAGTACCATAGGAGTTAGAGGTGGGATCTGTGTAACTGGGAGGAGAGGAGAGGAGAGGTCGTTGCTTAACTCTTTTACCCTCCTTTGGTGGTGGTAGCAGCTTCTTTGAAGTTTAGGTCTTGGTTTCATCTTCTGGATCAGTGGGGAGCCTAGAGATCTGTATATTTCACCAACTCCTTAGTGTCTTCTGATGGGTACCCCTGGACTCACTGCAGGAGAGTCTCCAACCCCTAGTCTCTTCTCCATATTAGTGTGGCTGAGCAGCAAGGACGTCGGCGGGGCTGGTACACCTACACAGACCTGTGTGTGCTGCTGGAACAGCCAGCATGGCAGCTGTCTCTGGGCTCCCTCTGCCAGCGGCTGGTAAAGGTGAGAAGGGTTTATGAAGGAGAGGGACTTGAGTAGACTCACATAAGAGAGGGAGGGAGGGAGGGAGAGAGAGAGAGAGAGAGAGAGAGAGAG